TTGATTGACAAGACCAAAGAAGTAAGAAAAAAGAGAAAGAAAAAAAAAAAAGAGAAAGAAAGAAAGAAAAGAAAGAAATTTTTTTTTTTTTAATTATTTTAATTTATTTTTAATTTATTTCTTTTAAATTGACTTTTTGTGAAGCAAAAAGTATCATACAGCCAACTGGCATAATTAATATAAGATAAGCCGAACTAATTTAGAAAGATTTCTTTCTTAGAAAATAATCCGTTTTTTTTTTTAAAGTTTTATTTTTCGGGCAAAAAAAATTCTCGGCTTTTTTTTTTTTACTGCGGTATTAAAGGGCATAAAGGTAAACCTTAAAAAAGAAATTATCGGACATGGAACCGACTCAGGAACCAAAACGCAACGCGGTGTTACATATTTCGAAATCGAAAATAAACAGTTGTATTACATAACTAATCTTACATAATTAAAAAAGGATATTAAATTAACTGATCAATTTAATTGGATTTTTAATTACAATAATATCATGTGATACGTATTGTGGTGTTGTGCATTTCTTTAGGTATCAAGGCAAATTCTTAGCATACTATTACAGTACTATTACAGTATCATTAATCAAGTAGTACTACTTTAACAAATGATTTTTCTGCGCAGAAATTTTTATAAAAAAGGACATATTTGGACATATTAACAACAAGTTTTTTTATATACGTATTTAAGTTTCAGGGACCCATTGAAAGGCTTATGCTTTTTTTTTATTCCATAATTGGTTAGTATTTTAAGCATGATACCAGGATTCCAGGAAATTGTGTCCTTTTGTAAAAATAAAGTTTTTCCTTCCGAAGAAATTTATATTGTTGGGTTATATATTTTATGTATGTAAATTATGTACATTTCCGCCTTTTAAACTATTAATATTGCGTATCACACTTGTCTTATTTGACAAAATTTTATGCATATCCTTATTATCTCTTATGATATTCTTCGTTATATTAACAGTTTAATTTTCTTTTTTATCAGGAAATCAAAAAAAAAAAATTTTTTTTTTTTATTTTTTTTTTTTTGGATGCATAGATGCACGTCAAAGAAACCGAACTCCTTTTACAATGTTGAAATGATTTCATATTATTGTAAAAAAAATAAAAAAATAAAGCATTGTTTATTGTTGTTATTTGTTTTTCCTTTTAATCGTCAATATCGTCAATATCGTCAATAATAATAAAAAAAAATCATTTTGTGGGGAAAATATATTTCTCCGGATTAAAAAAGATTAAAAAAGATTGATCGAAATTTACTAATTTTTATAATTAATAAATAATAATAATAATAATAATGATAACTGATAATAATATTTCGTAATAATGATAATAATTATAATAATAATTTTACCGTAATAATTAATCAATTACGAAGTTTAAAAAAATTAAGGTTTTTTTTTTTGATAAAATATATAATAGGTATTATAGTTATAATATGAAAAAAAAAATATAATCATTTTATTATTCTTTTTAAAAAATAAATAAATAAATAAATAAAATCCAATTCCAACAATGTAAAAAGTAAAATCATATTATCTCATTTATTAACAATTAACATTGTAATAGTTAAAACCATAAAAGAAAATTATATATACTAATTTGTCATTTTACATTCATTTTACATTTTATTCAAAAAGCAACAATAAAAAAAAACGCCCATTTTCATTTTTCTAAAAAAGCCCCACCCCTTTTTTATTTTGAAAACTTTGACATGTAGACATGTAATGTAATTAGTCTTAATTAGTCCATTTTAGGAACCCGAGATTATGCTTTGTTAATGAAACGAAAAAAAAAAAAGCTGACTTAATCCATGTTTCGCTTTTTTCAAACCTAAAATAAGGTAAACAGCATTTAAATCCGATTCATCAAATAAATGACCACATATATTATTACATTTATTACATTTATTTACATATAATTACTATATATTACATATATTTTTTATTTAATAATAATTACGTTACATAAAAAGTACGAAACAAGCCATCTTTTTTTTTAAAACGCAACGCATTCATTTAAAATTTATTGTTTATGTCATAAAATTCTTTTTTTCGCCCCAACGCGTTAAACATATAACAAAACTTTAAAAAAAAAATAAAAATATTTTCATTCTTACAAAAAAAAGTAAATTAAAATTTATTTCAAGTATTAATTCAAGTATTTTCAAATATATATATATATATTTTAATTTATATATATGTCGGTAATTATATTATTATATGTCGGTAATTATATTATTATATGTCGGTATAATAATTAAAATATGTCGGTAAAAAATCATTTAATTCCTTAATAATTTTTAATGATTTCTTTTTTGGAAACTAATAAAATTAGAGGTGGGTTTTTTTTTCTTTTTATATAAACTTTTATGTATTGATTGATTAATTTTATTGATATTGATCACACGACTTCTTTCTTTTTTCTTTCTTTCTTTTTTTTCTTTTTTTCTTTTTCTTTGAATGTTTTTTTGGGATTTACTTTGAAAATTCTTAAAATGGAAATTGAATTAGGAAAAAAATGGGTTTAATGATCTCATAAATCATGAGCTTTTAATTTAAAAAATTAAATATGTTTAGGTTTAAAACATGACATTAATAAAATTTAAAAATAAAAATTTCTTTCTAATCATAATTTCCGAAAATGTATTTACAGTTTTTCTTTTCTTAAAAGGATAAAAATGGATTTCTCCATGTGTGATAATTGATTCTTCTTATTGGATAAAAAAGATTTCTTATCTTTTTTTTTTTTTTTTTTTTTTTTTTTTTTTTTTTTTTTTTTTTTTTTTTTTTTTTTTTTTTTTTATCTTTTTTTATCTTTTTTTATCTTTTTTATCTTTTTTAACTTTTTAAACAAAAACAAGTTTTACTGCAACCCCTACCCGAAATTTTCCGATTTTCTTTCGCGATTCTATTTTTTACAAATCGTGAAATAAAAATAAATCGAACGCTATTAACCTCCTTATAAGGATTTCATTCATTCAGCCCCAGATTACTTGATTAAACATGGGCTAGGTAATACGTGATTTATTACTAATCCTTTTTATGTACAAATTTCGTAAAGCTCAAAAAGAATCACGCTTAAAAAAGAATAATCACGTTTAAAAAGAATCACGATCAAAAAAAAAAGTAAAAAAAAAAGAAAAAAAAAGGTATTGAAAAATGTGCCCAAAATATATTATATATTCACGAAATAGATAAATATCACATGATTTTTTGGCATTTTATTTGTTTCCACGTGACAAAATTGCAATTTCCGAAACAAAATTGGTCATAATTCAATAAATCCAGCCTAAATACTCGGATTTATCAAAAAATAGCAAGGAAAAAATATCTTTGGTCATCTGAAACTTGCTTTAGTTATTTCTGTTATTTATTTATTTTATTTCATAAAGAGAAGTGATCAGAGATCTATACATTGATAGGGTATTTAGATACAAAGAAGTAAAGAAGAACTATTCTAGTATAAGATACTCGGATACCAATCCCAATCCTGTAAGATATAAAATCCATTAGTTATTTCTGTTTTTATAGGAAGCCTCATTAAAAGGATAAGAAAAGGAGGCACGAGTTAAGGTTAGGTTAAATTTAATAATTTTTGTGGAAAAAAGGACTAAACCTACGCCTTTTTTGAAATGAGAGAGAAAAAGTTTTTGGCTTCTTTTTACCTGATGGCTGGATATCATGCTAATATGACTCTATCCTAACTTTTAATTCTAACCTTAACCTGCACTCTTCAAAAAAAAAAAAGCCGAAAGTCATACTAATTTATAATTTTGATCCATGTATTCACCATGATAGTCAAAACATCAAACATACACATGATCCGTAGCATCGCCAGGGCTCAAATAAAATCTTCACCATGCTAGTCAAAACATTAAACATACACTTCACCATGCTAGTCAAACCATTAAACATACACTTTCACCATGCTAGTCAAAATAAAACCTTCACCATGATAGTCAAAACATTAAACATACACATGATCTAAAAGAAATCAATCACCTAAAAATTTAAAGCCTGGTAATAACGAAAACCATAGTTTTTGAATGTATACGAAATCAATAAATTTATAAATGGTGCCTTATTGTATAACATCATTAAAATAATTTTTGAGATTACATAATAATTTTTTAAATGACAAAAAAAATGAACAAAAGAAATATATATATATATATTATAACAAAAAAAAAATGAAAAAAAATATATATATTAAAGAAAACCACTTTACTTCCCTGCTAATAAAAATTTCCGGTCATTATCTATGAATTATATAAAGGAAAGGGAAGTAAAATTGTATAAACGCCAAAAATATTTTTATAAAATTACAAAAAAGAATTAATTGGTTTTTGGAGGGTGCTAAATTATGATTTTATAAAAAAGTTCTTTTTGATTCACCTGAAAAAATTTTTTATTTAAGTCTATTTTTCTTTTACCCTCCCCAATAAATTAAAGTAAATTTATTGTGTATTAAAATATTAATAATCTTTTTTTTTAGAAAGTTTTTAGTATGCATCATTATATCCGCCATATTGTTGTTGAGGGGGATAACCACCACCATAACCACCTTGATTTGAATATACCTCATCTTCTCCAAGTAATTCTTTAACTTCCCATACATTTTGTTTACTACCAACGGAGAATTCAAGATCTTCTTTTGTGATGGAATCCCAATATTTGTAAACCATCATAACAGCTAAAAGTGTACAGATTGTTCCAAAGAATAACCCATCAATATAATGCTTGACTGTATCACAGATACGTACAGAAAATTGGTAGAGAATAACTTGTCCAATAACGTAGAAAGAGATTCCAAACAAAATATCACCAAGAGGCCAGCGATCATCAAGGGTGTTAAGTACAAGTACAATTTGAAGAACTACATAAATTACAAGAGCTGCTCCATTAAATATATATAATACGATCCAAAGTGCTACTGGATTTAAAGCACTAAATCCTGCTTTATTTAAGAATGTTGCGATACTCAAGAAGAAAACTGCAACGAAAATAACCAAAGAAGAAATACGGATCGACTATAAAAAAAAAATTTTTTTTAAAAAACATGATAATTGAATGAATACATTAATGTAATATATATTCAATATAAATCTTTTAGATCGAAACACATACCCAAAGCGACAATGGTGTACCATCTTCAGCAAATTGGAATCCGACGAAACCATTTAATAATAAGCACCAGAATGTAGCAGTAATAAGTCCAATATGTGCAGCAGTGAAATACTAAATGGAAATATTGAAATTTAAAATTTAATTTAAAATAATAAGGAAATCATAGAAAAATAAACTGAATAATATCTCAATAAGCATATAATGAGTCGTAGTAGAAAAAACAAGCTTTTCAACATAATAATATTAATAAAAAACTTACAGAATAAATAGTCGCTGCTGTTGGAATAATACCAGAAACAAGCAATAATTCTAGGAAGGTAACCATCATGTATAAGTAAAAGAACATAACAATTTCTTTACGACCTGTTATAGGAAGAATATTACATGTTAAATTTAGATCATTTTTGTTCAAAATTTCAGACTGGAATTTTTCTAAAATAAAAGGTGAATAAATAAATACAAACCGACTGCTGTATATTTTGACTTTATGTGGTAAATCATGATGGAGGTCATGATGAGTGAAATAATATGGATAATAATGGTAGCTTTAAAAATAAAAAAAATTAGTTTATAAACCAAAAAAAAATAATAATAATAAAAATACATATATTATTTATATTACCTGGTTGGAAAATTAGTGTTCCAGCAATTTCAACATTTCTTGAATAACATGTTGGTTCAATACCTTCTTCCGCTCCAACAAGAGGACACACAGTAAGAGCTACTTTCTCACAAATACCATTAAAATCTCCAAATTTTACCATAGTGTTATTACTTTTTGAAGTATAGTTGAAATTAGCGAAAGGGAAAAGTTAGGGGGTGAATATAAAGAGTGTAAGTTGGGGTTCCAAGAAAGATTCTTTTTTTTTAGAGAAATATTCTCCTTTCCCCTTTTAGAATATCACGTTAAAAGAGAATGGTAAAAAGATGATATAATTAAATTTAGCTTTGTTTCGAAATATTTTGATATAAATAAGAAAATAAAATAGGAAAAAACTTGTTGTCTATATATACAACTTGCGCATTAAAAAGTCTCTTATAAGTACAGATGAGCTTGTGTATTATTATGTTACCAGTAATATTGAAATTTGGAAATCATGGAGCGATTTTGTTGGACAAACAATGCACATCAAACTGCGTGTCGATTAAACATCCGCAAACTGCTAAGGCATTACTACATTTGGTGTATGCGGTTTCACGCGCGAAATGTCACGCGAGCCAATATAAAAAATGTATCACAATATTATTATATCTCAATACGGATATAAGTATGAAATGAAACAAAATTAAAATATCCTCTAGAATTTGGAAATTTTTTTTTTTTTTTAAAAAAATATATATATATATATATATAAAAATTAAAAATAAAATGTTTGAAATGATTTTTAAAGCCTTTTTATAAATGAGTACATCGAATTACATCGAATATAGTAAATTTGAACGATTTACATTCACGCGTATAAAAAAAAACCGGCACTAATCAATTATCACCCGGCTTAACACTTGGTCCGATAAATTTTTTTATATGAAAAAAAAAAAATTGTGTTTAATTAATTCGCGTATGCTAACTGAATTGAAAATGTAACTAACGTTTTTAAGCATTAAAAAGAGTTTCATCCAAGACTTTATAGATTTCATACGTAATAATTTCTTACATTTGGAACTTAATAAATATAAGATATATATCTACGTAATTGTACAATGGATGTTGGCAAAAGTCTTTGAGATAAGATGAAAATTCGGGAGACGACACATCTAATCAAAAAAAAATAATTTTGAAAATCACGTGTATTTCCATAAAAGTTTTTGATAATCCACAAAATTGTTTTCGAATTTTGTTTGGTGGTTCTCTTTCTTCTGTAGACCTAACAACAAATCTTTTTGTTTCAATTTTTTATTTATCTTTGAAAAAAACTACTATCAAATGGCTTCTATTAACGTTAAAGTAAGTGTTAATTTTAAAAGACACTTTAGAATGAATTTTGTTGAATGCGGACCACGAGCAATCAATTCCTACATTTTTTGATAGGTTGCTCGATGGACCGCACTAGCTCTTGGGGTTACATATGGTTTAGTACATAGAAGATCATTGGTTAACGCTGAAGCAAAGAAAAAAGCGACAGCTGAATATAAACATAGAGAGGAACTAATTAACGAAGCTAAATTAGCCTATTCCGCATCTAAAAAGCATGATGATGGTATATTTTTACTTTTATTTTTCTCATTTTCGCTTGAGGGAAAGGAATTTATATTGTCCTCGTATAAATGGTTATCTAGTGCGAATATAGGAATAATTTAAATTAGATTCACAAATAGATTTTTCTATCATTGCAAGAACGTATTCAGGATTCTCTATATCAGTCTGATAGTTACATGTGACCCTTATATATATATTACATCATTTTAGGGTTTCTCTCATTCAATGGCAGTTTATGATAATGAGATAATGAGGAATATGTTGTATATCAGCCAATGGGAAAAATAATAGATAACATATACTAAAATTGAATGCTAATTATTTTTTTTCCATTATTACTTCTTTTACAGTCATAACAGATCCAGATGATCCAAACTTTGATTTAGAAAAACTTATTAATCATTTCGAAAAAAAATAGGCACATCGACAATAAAAATTGTATTAGTATTAAAAAAGAAAAATCGACAAAAATAATCAAACATTTTTTTTTTAAAGAAAAAAATTTTTTTTTTTCTATAATAAATTAATTCCATGCAGCTAAGTATAAAGATTGAGAATTTACTTGTTTGTCTTTAGGTGAATTAAATTATTGGGAGTGGATTTGTGAAATAAAAGTAAAAGATTGTTTTTATATTATCTAGAGATTTTTTTTTTTTTAAAAAAAAATATACTTTGATTTTATCAATAAAACAATAAGGTGGAAACAAAATTTTATTCATCATAAAAATTCATAAACTTTACATTTAAATTTTGACCTAACTTGACATTTCCAAAGTGTTTCAAGGTAATCTTGACTTAATATGTATATATTGTACTCGAAAACACGTATTCATAATCTCGTTAATAAAGTAAAAAAGCAAAAAACGTTTCTCCATAAATTGTAAATCAATTCCTTTAATTAACGTCCTTTTAAAGAGTTATTATCCCAAGACTACATTAACAAGAGAATTTGATAAACCTGCATCTTCTACAGTCTGATTGACTTGATTAATCAAATTGTTCCTATGACAAACAAGCTAACACAAAAAAATATATATTTAAATAATGTTATCAGATCAAAAATATTTTATGGTGTACATAAGAAAAGTGTACATTACCTCAAACTCTTGATCTTTTAAGTTGGGAACTGTCTTAATGAACTCGAATAAATATCGGACAGGGTCCATCTTTTCGAACCGTCGAATAACCGTTTGTCCATCTTTATTAAATTCTTTGTATTAGTAAATAAAAATAAAAGACATAAATTTAATACAAATTTGATCATCAAATTACCCGCTAAACGGAATTTTATCATTGCTGTTGTAGGACCTTTAGCTTCTTCTCTTTCAATAGGCTGAATGGAATCAAATATCGAACTAGGTTCTTCTACAAAAGGTAATTTAAGAAAATTAATTTTAACATAGCAATAAATTTTCTAAAACCAATAGAATTAAACTTACCAGGTGTTGAATCTTCCTCCTCTTCTGTATCTTCAATTTCATCATTAGATTCAGATGCAGATCTATCTTCTTCAAGTGACCTGTTAATAACTGCCTCTATTTGTTCTTCCTCACTCATTGCTATAACCGGCTACAATAGAATGAATAATTGTGAGAAATAAGTTCAATAAGTAACTTAGCTGAATGTCAAAAAGAAAATAAAATTACTTTGGCAGGGCCTTTAATCGGCGTAGGAGGTGTCAGTTTCTTTTGATCATTCAACGAATAGCGTTCCAAAAAGTCCGTAACTTCAAAATTGCAAGAATTTTAATAGTTACTTTTTTACGCGTCATAATTAATGAACAATGAAGACCACTTACTATGTAATATAAATTCATTGGGTGAAAGTTTATTAGCATTCAATACTTTCACCCTTTCACCTGTCAAAAAAATAAAACAAAATAAAATAAAATCGCTGTATAAATAAGGATTGGTTGATCAAATAAATTTAAAAATAATTTACCAGTTCTTGGATCTATAATTGCGATATGTGGATAACTGTCAATAGGATAGTAATTTATATATTGTCGTCCTTCGGGACTTTCTGAATTAAACTAGGGAAAAAAGTAGATAATTGAATTGATGTTTTAAAAAATAATATAAAATAAAAGTACGAGTTTACTTACTTGAAGGAAAAGAAAGTCAGCTCTAATAACTTCTTTAACCGCATTATTGGGCCATAAATCGCGATTGAGCACCTGACAAGCAAATTCTTTTATATTTTGGATGTCAACCATTACCCATTTGTTCTCAATTTTCGCTCTTTTCCGTGTCTAGATTGAGAATTAAACAAGTTAACCATCAAGAAATTAATTTTTAGATAATCTATACAATTATCAACACAAAAATCATTAGTTACCCCTTCAAAGTTTTCTTTGTTTATGATATCGAAAGGCGGACTGAATAAGTCAACCAAGCTAGTAGCCTCAGAAGGCCCTATAAATTCACATCGAACCGTTTGTTAAATTATCCTTCTTATAATTCCGATTATTTTTTTATCATACCCATTCGATGAGGTAAAGCATTGCCTGCGAAAGTCTGGGTCTGAAAATTACTATCACGTGAACGATTACTGCGTGGTACACCTCTCCTAACTATAAAGCAACGTGGAACAAGTTGCAAGTTATATCGAAATATAATATTATAAATAAGAAAAAACTTTTTAAAAAAACGTGTAGAATTAATAAAAATCGAGAAAGATCCTTACTCATTCCGCCATCAAGACCGACATGGTCATTTTGATCACCACCAACGAGAATTTCGCGTTTGGGCGCGATGGGAGCTCGAATCGTAGGGCTATCTTGTTGAGCAAGCGCCCTCGCTAGCTCTGCATCTGAATCGATTAAACTTCTTCTTTCAGCGTCTGCGGGAGTTGCTGATGTGGACTGTTGAAAATTTGTAGCAGTACTAGTATTTACAACTTCAGAAAGATCTTGTCCACCCATCTCTAAGTAAAGAGAAACAGCTTGCGCAACGTCTCCGCCAGACAGCTATTAAGTTTCGCGAGTCATTGCAAGAAAGAAAATGAAAAGAAGACATATAATAAAGTATATAACTTTAGAGAACGAAAAATTATATTTCTGCTCATTTCCAAACGTAATTTACCTCCAAATAGTTTGCTGCGGCTAGTCTATTCGCGTTTGTGACATTACAGAAATCTTCTATTTTGTCTTCGGGGGTCATTTTTTTTACAAATCTTTCTTTGAGGGTTAATTAATAAGAAGTGGTTCTTCCAGTTGTACATGCTTTATATCTGTTTATGGGTAGTATACGTAAGTAGGACGTACGTCATGGAATAAAAGTAAGGCTACTCCGGCCTCCAAACCCCCGTGGTTAGATACAACCGAATGATCAATGATCATTGTATATTTTGTTTTAGTGATGCAAGACAAAAATTCGAGTGTTAGAACATCAAAGCCAATTTGATGTAATGAGACACAATTTTTTATCAATCATATGGCAAATTTTTTACACGAGACAAATTATTAAGAAATTTATGTTTATCATATGTCATATACTTTATCAATAATTTGTACTTTATTTACTTTACAACTTTCGCTGCAGTTTTTGATCTTTAGAATCGATTCCGATATCCTCCGATTTACGACTAGATCGGGTAGTTTATCCGGCGACAAATGAATTGACTTACCCTTTGAGTTAGTGCGTGACCATGATTTTCTATGTTACATTCAATACGGAACATGTAAATGTAGTACAGTAAATATGATTTTATTATGAAAAAATAAATAATGAATAATATACGAATTGAAATAATAATTAACAACAATAAATCTATACCAAAAAACATCTCTTCTTGGATTCCTTAATAAATAAAGTCCATTATTACAATATCATTGGAAATAAATATATTATCAGGTTGAAAAACAAATAAGACTGATGAAATATTTTAGGGTAGAAATATTTACTTTTTTTTAATAGGTCATTAATGACCTTTTCTATTCAACAGTTACTTATAAATATGACCCTTTCTATTCAACGGTTACCTATAAATACAAGTTGATTGATTAATTAATATGCTATAAAATTAACACGTTTATACAGAAAATATAAAGTAACTTACAGATTTGGCTAAATTTCGTGGGAAATCAACGTCAACTCCGTGCAGAACTGCCAAATGATACGATAGCAATTGCAAGGGGATAATTGTAAGAAGTCCTTGTAAACAATCAACTGTTTGGGGAACACGAATCGTTTTGTATTGACTCGATATTCCCTCATCTCCATCATTGCAAATAATGATTGGTTGTCCCTTACGGGCTGTAACTTGTTGAAGAGCGCTTTGTACTTTCTAATGTATACATAGTAGTGTTATGACTTATTTAATTGCATAAGAAATCGAATTGGTTAAATAACATACCGGATACAAAGAATCTTTAGTCATGATAAGAATGACTGGCATATTTTCGTCGATAAGAGCCAAAGGACCATGTTTTAATTCACCGGCTAAAATACCTTCGGAATGCATATATGAAACTTCTTTGATCTTCAATGCACCTTCTAAACATGTAGCATTTTGAAACCCACGACCCATAATCAAAAGACTTTTCTCTTTATAAAGAACATCTTTGGCAAGTTGTTGTAATTCTTTATCACTATTTAAAACTTGTTTAATATGATCAGATAATTTTCTGAGTTCTTCAATTATGTCATTTCGTCGCTGAGTCATTGATGAACGATCTTCACTCAATTGAATGGCCATCATGACCAAAGCAATAAATTGTGAAGTATAGGCCTAATAACGATAAATAAACGGTATTAATCGAATTATATTCTTCAAATGAAGAGTATTAAAATATCAAAAAAAAAGTTCATACCTTAGTGGATGCGACACCAATTTCGGGACCAGCATTAATGTGAACACCACAGTGTGTCTCTCGTGAGATAGTTGAGCCAACAGTGTTGGTAATTCCAAGACAAAGAGCTCCACGTTCGAGAGAATATCTTAAAGCAAGGATTGTGTCTGCTGTCTCACCAGATTGTGACACAAACACGCACACATCATCTCTGAATATAGGAGTCTTCCTGTCCAAGAAATCACTGGCTAACTCTACTGAGACAGGAATTTCTGTTAACTCTTCAAAAATGGCACGGGTCTACAGTGTAATTATTCAAATGGTCAATATATTATTTAAAAAAATACAATAGATCCGTTTTATCAAGATTTTATTGCAAACTTACAGCCACGCAAGAGTGATAACTTGTGCCGCATGCGCAAAATACTATACGTCTGCAACGTCGAATAGTTGCTAAATATGCTTTAAGACCACCAAGAGTGACTTTATGACTTTCAAAGTTAACGCGACCACGCATAGTATTTACTACTGACTCAGGTTGTTCATAAATTTCCTTTTGCATGAAGTGATCAAAGGAACCTTTCATAATTTCAGCTAATTCGATTTCTAAAGTTTGAATAGAACGAACAGCTGATATCCCATCATCACGTCTTAAACGATGAATATGAAGTTCTATAATTGTAGTAGTATGATAATTACATAAATAATGGAATTAAATTAATTTGAATTATTAATTTTATTATTACCTCCATCACAGATGTGTCCAATATCATCATCCTCAAGGTAAAGTACGCGTTTAGTGTGTTCAACGATAGCAGAAGGATCAGATGCAAGGAAATATTCAATCGGTTGAGGTAACCCATCTTCACTTAAGAAAGCGCGCGATTGACTACGTCTTAGTTTTGGATGACCATCAGTGGGAGATAATAAACCTCCTTCTACCTTTTCTTCCGTTGGTGCAAATGCAGAATCTTTATAAAAAGCGAAAAGAAACAAGACTCGTTATAAAAACAAAATAAAATTTATTGCCGAAGATAATAACAACGACGTTAATAACAACTGGCTCATGTATCTATCCACTTATAATAAAAACTCAAAAATTCGCCATTTGAAAGAAACAATAACATTAATATGCCCGATTACTAAAAATATGATAACCTATAAAACGATTCTTACCTGTTCCAAATTCAACATCGACGAAGTCTACTTTTAATTTTTTTTCAGTTTTGACACCAACTAACAAAGGAGATCCACGACGCGTGGCAACAATTTCGTTGGGGAAATGTACACTCTTAAAGATCAAGGCAAAAGCTCCTTCCTATTGAAAGAAAAGAATAACGCGTATTTTTAATTAATCAATATAATTAGCAATGCTTGTATAAAAACGATATCAATTTGAAATATTTACCAATTCCTTGATGACACCTTTAACAAGCGCGGTGAAACTCAAGTTTTCATTGGATTTTTGAGTATCATACAAATACTTCGCAAGTTTGGCAACAGCTTCAGTATCTGTCTCCGATTCAAACATATAACCTTTCTTCTCGAGGACTGTCTTCAATTCCTTATAATTAGTAATTATACCATTATGAACCACAGTAAATTCGCCCTTTGGGTCAGAACGATGAGGATGTGAATTCGTTGGAGAAGGTTCACCGTGAGTAGCCCAACGAGTATGTGCCATACCACAGTGGCTGACAAATTCTTTTTCAAAGTCAACAGTTGCTTCAGCAACGAGTTTCTTTAACGCGGCAACTTTTCCGACTTGTTTATAGATGAGTACTACTCCGCTATCATCCCCGTCGATTGCTAAACCTGCGGAATCGTAACCACGGTACTCAAGACGAGATAAACCACTCGTAAGGATATCAATAATTGTTCTTCGATCTTTGGCAATAAGGTAGTTAAGATAAGCAAAAATACCACACATTTTGATCTATTTTGTAGATATTTTAATATGAAGGGTGAATGAATAATAAAAATACAAAATGTGAAGAGAGAGGAACAAAAAAGAGCGTGGAGAAGGACAATTTATACATTTTTACAAGGGGACTAACCCCTTTTTTAGAATGTCGCGCCTTTTATTTTTGTCCACGACTGGCGCACAAAAAAAAGAAACTCTTGTTTTGATAGTCAAAGTTATCTCGACAATCTGTAACACAAATCTGATTGATTAAAGCATTGTAAGCATTGTAATGTGTTACTCGCCTAATGTAATTTCGAGTAATTAATGCTAGTGCTTAATAACGCATGAACTTTCTTTGCTAACCAATTCAAATTTATTAGATGTCGAATGTGCCTCCTAGAAAGAGCGCAGTGTGCAGAAGGGGTATTATTGATATTCAAAGTTTTCGTTCTCTAAAATAACAATTTATAATTATAGCTAAGAAAGGATACAAAAAAAAAATTTTTTTTCAAAGATCATCCAATGAAAAATCAAGAAATTCCAATTTAATGCTTATATTACTGGTCCATATTCTTGCATACTCGGTACATACTGTTATATGCATCAAATTTATAATTTCTATTTTTAGCTATAAACGTGCTTGTGCTTCAAGTGTTTGCGCATTGTTCATTACATCCATTCCCTTTAATTAGAGGCTATTCTATTTTAAAAGGAACCAAACAATCAAATGAGGCGCGCTTTTCTGTTATTTTTAAAATAATTTTGATCTGAAATTTATCAGCTTCCCCGAATAAAAATAAGCTTATTTAGAACAAATAATCGTTGCACTTTTCTAAAAAAAAATATTGGCTATAGTTTCAGCCAATTCCTTTTTCATGTATTTGACAAATTCCAATTACCTTTCTAAGTAAAATAGTTTCAGCCAACTAAAAACCTGATTTTCTGATTTTACTATTTTCGGATTTTCAGTTTTTCATAAAAAATTTGTAATAATAAAAGAGTTTGCTAACTGGGTTAGATAATCTGGGTTAAATCACCCCCCTAAAATTTATATTTTATATCGATCATTTTTTTTTAAAAAAAAAGAAATTATTTATGTTATTATTCACGTTATATAAATTTTATTTATTTGGATATTATAGAATATAATGACCAAGTTTTCTTAATATTTTTGACAATATCTCTTATTTTTGATCATGACCATAATTTACTTATTTTTTTGAAAATTTGGGCAAAATTATATAATTACATAAACTTTATTAGTAGATTAAATCATCCAGATTGATAAATCACCAGGGTTAAAATTAGTCTTTTACTAATAAAAAAATGCCAAATTAAAAGCAAAAAAAATATATTCTTTAAATACAATTAGTATAAATAAAAAAAAATAGTTTGCTAAATTAATATCAATATTATATATTATTATATTATTACTTATATATTACAGATAGTAGTAATTTTTTTTGTTTAGTCAAAATTCAATCTGAAATTATTTTTTATAATAAAATTAATTGCCTAAACTGTTTTTATGCTTTTCCAAAACTTAATTTTCAGATTTACCAATTTTTTCATTAAAAATAAAGTTTTTGAGTTTCAGATTTTTGAATTTTATTGTTAAGTTTTGGGCAGCAATACTAGATGTAATTAGCTATTCAGTTTGTTTCTAAAATTATATAAATTATTATATGTTATTAATTATTGTAATAATATAAATGGTATCTAATTTTATATTTATCTGTTATAATTACAATAAACAAAATTCTATATCTTATTTTTGAATATTTATTTTAAAATATACTGTATAAAATTTAAAAATACTATTATCTAATTATTATAAATTTAAATTATTAATAAACCAAATTTAATAAATTAAAAATCAATATTTTATTATTTTTATAATATATTAAATCAAAAAATAATAAAAATATTTTTAAATTTAAAGTATTTAGGATTAATAAATAATGTTATTTATAATTAACTTATATAATTACATAATTTTCTATTAAAATATTATGTTATTAAATAAATTACTTGTTTTAATTCTATAGTGTAATTCTATAAAAAATTTAATTTATTTAAATACTATTAAAAAATAAATTTTCATTAAATAATTAAATTACACTATTATATAATTATTTAAGAGGTATTTTACATGATATGAAACTCATAAAATAATTATAAAAAAGTATTTACTATATAAAAAATATAATTCTTTATTAGTAATATATATAATAATAAAAAAAATTGTAAATTTAATATTTTTTTATTATTTATTTTGATGATTACATCTTACTAGGACCCCGGAATTCTTTAATATAGGTCATAAGTCATACTTTTGGTGAATTGACCCATTTTTTAAGGGTCTGGGTCATTTCACTGATAGATATTTCACTAACACCTAAATGTTACGCACATATCACGTGATAAATATGCATTAAACATCACGCCCAAGTACTGTCATGACCATCACAGGGGTGAAAAAATGTCCTTTTTTTTAAGGGTTTAAAAAATCGTTTTTGCAAATATCTTGGCATCCAGTGGTCCAATTTTGATAAAATTTTTATAAATTGTAGATCTGAATGAGGCTACAAAATAAAAAAATTCATTAAAATTAAATTACTGGATGCTGAAATATTTACAAAAAAAACAATTTTTTGAGTTTTAGCGAAAAGTGATGTTTTTGGCCAAAAGTCCTTTATAATCTTTATATTAGTTTTCCAGAGTTCTATCTTACTGGATAGATATAGCTCATAATAATTTGTTTGTATGATATATAAATTAAATATCAATAAACCATATATAAATTATTAAAAAAAAAAAAAAAAAAAACACCACTTTTTGCTGAAACTCAAAAAATCGTTTTTTGTAAATATCTTATATCAGGTACCCATTACTACATATATTAGGTATATATCTGATACATATCTGCTATCAATATATTAATTTTTGACTAGTTCTTGACCAACGTATTTCTTGCTAATTGATGTTATTAACGGAGAAGTTAGTCTTCTAAAATAAGGAGACGGAGTTGAGGTGTATGTTTGGTGTTTTTTACTCAAGTTTTTCTCATTGCACTTCGAGTTTTCCTGAAGTTTATGTCTTTATTTTTTTGCTTTTTGTTTTTCTTGGTCATTTTTTTCAGTGTAACCTTATTTTCTTTGGGGGGTAGGGGATACTGGAAAATTTGATCGTCATGATGGCTTGGTATTACTAATTTTCAAAATTGATGATCATTCGAGTGATAAGGGGGTGACAGGTTAGGTACTGCAGTTTTGTAGTATGCTGATCAAGGTAGTCACATGTTGGACTATCATTGGATTGATTTATCTAGGTAGATCTTAGACTGACGGATCATTCGCAATGAGGTGGATGTCCCTTTGAGAATTGCATGACACTAAAAAGTTCCTCTAGCGGCTGGACTGCATGACACTAAAAAGTTTCCTGAGGTCTTTTGAAGTAGATTTGTTATCCATAGTATGTAGTTAAATAGGAAAAATTGAATTTTGTTCCTTTTTAATTGCGCTAATAGTACTTGGCTTATAGGGTGACTTGATCTTTAAATGTAGCGGAATGCTTCGCTAGGTACATATAGCATAGTCGATTCTACTGGGTTTAAGATATAATTTGAGGGTAACTGTAATAATTTATATAGAGAGGGTGTTGGGTTTATAATCTTGCATTTCTTTTTATGTATTTTTTTTTCAAAAGATTATTTGTTCTTGAATTAGTTAGTTCTGCACTTTGTTGTGGTTCTTTCTTGAATACCTGGTATTATCTAAAGTTACTTATGGCAAAAATTAATAAAATTCAAGCATAAGCTTTATTAAACTAATTTTTGACTAGTATTATTCTTCCTTTTGCTATAAAAGTCCTCATATAGAATAAAATTTTCAAAAAATTATTTATTTTCCTATTTTTTATAATAATTCAATAAAATTTATCTTAATAAAAGAAATTTAATAATAATAATTTTTAAAAAATTTTTCTAACTATCATCAAAAATGATAATCACTAATAACTAAAATTATGATAATCGACTAGCATTAAAAAAATATAGTGCTAATAAAAATTGATAATTCTGGCTAATGGTAATAATCATCTTCAAGTTTATTACTTTCTTAAATATAATAAATAAATTTTTATTTAATATAAATAAAAAATATTTAGATTAGTTATTATTATTATTTAAAATAAAATAATAAACTATATATGTTTTTAAAAAATTATATTAAATAGTAATCTAATTATTTGTATTAAAATTTTATATTACTTTAAAAATATTAAATAAATAAAATAAAAGTTTATAAACTTATGATGATTTATATTTTTTAATTATAAATAAAATTAAACTAATTTTTATTAAATACTTGAAACTTATAAACAATTTATTACCAACTCTGGAAATTATGAAAGAAAGGAGATATGATTTATATGAAGATGTAAAGTGCAAACTATGACTATAAACAAAAAAAAATCTTAAATTATATGTAAATAATAACTTTATTATACTTAATTTTACTATAATAGCAATATATTCATATGGGCTGATTTATGGAATTAAGTTTTTATATTCAAAAAACTAACTTTATTAAGCAAATGCAAATGCAAGTTACATGAAAATGATAGATTCACACCAGCTGACATAAATAAAATTGATTTAATTATATTATCTTTTGATTATTTTAATAATATCATTAAAATTAAAAAATTTAAATATAATTGTCATAACAAAATATTGAATAACTTAATGTGTATATGTGCTAGACGAATGAATTTATATTCATTAGAAAGAGGTAATCAAGAGCTATCTATAAACCAAATATCGCATGAATTAAATCACAAGTTGCTGAATAATTACGTTCAATATATTTATTTTTAACTTNAAAACTGCGGCTTGTTGATCAATTATAATAAAAAGACCGAAAACTCATAATTTTGTGAAACTGTACTAATAAAGCATCATGTTTCACATATGAACATATAAAATATTTTGATTGACGTATCATGCTAAGCCACTCCTGTATTATTTTTATTATTTTTTTTTATTTAACTGGAGTATTTAACTGAAAATACTTATTAAATAATAATAAAGTACTTACCAGTATTTTAGATTGCAAAGTTTAACATTATTTTAAAGGTAAACTAAGTTTATTATTATATTGGCTATACTGTATAATATTAGCAAGTAATAATTACTGATTTTTATTCTTATTCACTTTATTATAAACCTTGTTGGATAAACAAGATATTTTTATATACAGTTAGAGATAAATATTTATATCTGTCTCTTATACACATCTAAAAACAAAAAAAACATCTCAAAAACTCTAAATTATAACTCACATTTTTATTTTGTATATATTTTTACTAAAAAAAAGAAGGAACTAAGGTTAAAAATAAATGAAAAAAGATTTTTCTTATTAATATAAATTATTAATATTTGTTTTCTTACTTACTGATTAAAAAAAAACCTGCTATATATGCCTATAAACTTTTCTAAATCACTTAACAAAAATCTGATTGAAAAGTGATTGAAAAAGAAAGTAGTTACCATTGTTATTTTTGAATAAACGTTAAAAAATTTTTATTTATTTTTTGATAGATTTATATTATCTGATTATATAACACATATAATTTAAGCTTGTGAAACATAATAATTCTTGTTAAAATGTGCAAATCTTTATAAAAATCTTAATTTTGGCTAATTTCACAAATTGGTGGATATGTTATATATTAAAATTTCACTATATAATAAAAATTTTAAATGAAATATTTTGGTTAATATTATATTTACAAAAATGAAATATATATCAAAATATTTGTTTTAATAAAACAAATCTAAGATTATTAAAATCCAATTACCAACTCTTAAAATAGCAAAATCTATATATATTTTTATCACCATTTTCAATTTGGTTAAAACTGCGGCTTGTTGATCAATTATAATAAAAAGACCGAAAACTCATAATTTTGTGAAACTGTACTAATAAAGCATCATGTTTCACATATGAACATATAAAATATTTTGATTGACGTATCATGCTAAGCCACTCCTGTATTATTTTTATTATTTTTTTTTATTTAACTGGAGTATTTAACTGAAAATACTTATTAAATAATAATAAAGTACTTACCAGTATTTTAGATTGCAAAGTTTAACATTATTTTAAAGGTAAACTAAGTTTATTATTATATTGGCTATACTGTATAATATTAGCAAGTAATAATTACTGATTTTTATTCTTATTCACTTTATTATAAACCTTGTTGGATAAACAAGATATTTTTATATACAGTTAGAGATAAATATTTATATCTATAAATAAATGCAGTGGGTACTTGAGTTAAGGCAATTTTTGGATTATGATTAGAAAAAGATTTGTTTTTTTTAAAAATTAAAAAATCATTTAAATTACAAATTAATAGAACACTAAAATTTGATTTTTTTTTTAAAAAAAAATTATTATAATTATATAAACTTTAAACCTTTAAATAAAAACTTATTCAAATCAAATTACAGATAATCAAAATATTATAAAGTAGTAATTATTGTTTTTAAATGGTTGGTGAAATTTTCTAATTATTGTAAGGTTGCAAAAGGCATGTTAAAATTTTTTCTTTTGAACGTTTGAACGCAAAAAATAATTTTTTTATTCAGTAAATTATTATGTGTTTAAATTTCATTGGCTGATCATTATTGATCAATATGTGACGTAAGTGTTTTCAGTATTTTATTATTTTTATTTATAATTTAATCAGTTTCAATTAAATTGAAAATAGCGATAAGTTTTATTATAACATCTTAAATTAATTCCAAAATAATTTTGATTATATATATAATGAATCTATATAATTTGTAACATTTAGATTACCTGTATAATAAATTCTAAATTGTGTAATATTACTTTTCATTAATCAGTTTATTATGTGATGTCATAACGTTAACAAATTCAAAAAAGTGAAATTTATATGATGATTATATTATTCCAGCCAGCATTACAAACAATTCTGGTACGAAGCAACAGGTACAACTAGATATTATATAAAAAAAACTGAAAGATAAAATTATATAATATATTAAATAAATAGTTTTTAAAATTATAAATAATCTGCTATAATATAAATATCTTTAAATAGTAAATCTTTTTGTAAATTTAAATTTTAATTATAAAATTGCTTTTCAAACCAATATTATAAAATAAAATTAAATGGATATTTAAATTCAATTTTTAATACAATTGGTAATTTTAATATAATTAAAAATAATTTTATTTTAATAATTATTTTATTAAATAAGTTTATTAAATGAAAGTTATAATAAAAAAAAAGCACTGTAAAAAGTTAACCTATAATAATGAAATAAAATAAAATTACTTATTAGTTTTTACATTATTTGCAGTATTCATTAAATTCTTATTTTCAGTTTTTAAAAACTAGATAAAAATCTGAATAGCAGAGATTATAAAACTTATAAATTATAAATCTTATTTTTATACTATTTTTATTCAGTTAAATAAATTTACATTTTAAAAAAATGAATTGATTTTATCTTATATTGTCAATTACATAAAAAACTACTCTTCTTCCATTTTTTTTAATTATTCATTCTTAATTGAAAACTTTTTATAACTGTATATAATAAAAATCAAGATAATAAAAGCTGCAAATAATATTTGTAAATATATAAAGAAATAAGGTACTACATTACAATTACTTATTTTAATTTAAAAAATCTTACAAATTTAATACGAAGAATGAAGTTGCGCATCTTACCCAGTATCACTGTCACTTTTCTTCCTCCATGTGATCATAGTAAAAACATTTGTCACATGGTATCACACCCTCTGCGTTTTCCTTTTTCATAATTATTCTGGGGACGATTTTTTTCGAGGGGTGAAAAATTATTTTTCACATACTTATTCATCACATGGTTAATTTCTTAATTCCGTAATGCCGGCCAAAAAGTCACGTGGGGAAAAAGTGACGAGGTGTGGTATAAATGAAGTTGCGCCACATGGTCACGTGGACTAAATTTTTGTTGATGAGATGTATAAATAATTAAATATCTGATATCTCATCTACATTTTTTTTTTTAAAAAAAAATTACCCTTAAGGGACGCAGTGTGAAAAATTAGTTTTAAGTTCCCAAAAAAAATGAATACTTCTAAAACAAATAATGATGAGTCTTTGAAAACAACGAAGGAAAATGAACCTATTACTAAAAAATTAGCCGATACCCCATATCCAGCTTGGACAATGGCGACGTTATGTACATTAAGTTATTATTTGTGAAAGAAACCCGAATATAAAACCAGAAAAGCACTGAAGAAACTTTTAAAATTATTTTTTTTTTCTTAAAAAAAAAATAAAAAAGGTTTAGGGTCCTCAGGAATGGCAGTAAGACAATATCCTGGAATGTCTTCGATATGGACTGTCGTAGGTTTTGGTTTAATATTTTCTTTTTCAGGGTAGTTATAAATCATTCATTTCATTCCCTTTTTTGTTCTTTATTCTTTAAATTATCCTAAAATAATCATTTTTAATTCTAGATATATGACTTATACAGGCGATTTAAGCAATGGAGGAGGAACTACAGCATGTTTGTACTTTTTAAATTACCAAATTATTGTATTTTTATTTCTCAAAAAAAAAACTAACTTTGAATCACCTTTTATTATAAGCTTGGTCATTAATATACAGTATATTTAATGCTGAAAAATCAATTAAATCAAGAAAACCTTTACCTATTTTAATGACATCACTTGCTTTGTCCAACGCCTATATTTATGGGAAATATTATTTCTTTTTAAAATAAATCGATGTACATAACCTGGGAATCAAGAGTCGGAACAATTTATAATTTATTCTTCAAATACTCATATACGTAAAAGGTTCACAGGTTTAACCATTCAAATACAATCCATACAATCACACAATAAAATATTATGAGCACACTCTTAGATATAATATAGTTAAGTAAAAATTAGATTTTTTCATTAATTCATTTCGAAAGAAAAAGTCGATAGTATAAAAAATATTACAAAATAATTTTTTTTTTTTTAAAAAAAANATAAATCGATGTACATAACCTGGGAATCAAGAGTCGGAACAATTTATAATTTATTCTTCAAATACTCATATACGTAAAAGGTTCACAGGTTTAACCATTCAAATACAATCCATACAATCACACAATAAAATATTATGAGCACACTCTTAGATATAATATAGTTAAGTAAAAATTAGATTTTTTCATTAATTCATTTCGAAAGAAAAAGTCGATAGTATAAAAAATATTACAAAATAATTTTTTTTTTTTTGAAAATATATATTCAAAAAAAAAAGAAACTCTTATATAATGAAGAGGGATAAAAACATAAATAATAAATAATTCAATAAGGTTGGGAAAAAACGTAATTGTTAAAACATATGCGAATAATAATAATATATAAAAATAATAAATGGGAGAAAAAATATCTACAACGAAATAATTTTTTGATTAAATATTTATAAGAAAAAGTATTCAACGTGCGTGTCAAGACCAGCTTGCAAAATAAAGTTCAATATTGTTATGGAGAAAAAATTGCAGAAAATGAGCAATAATTGCAAGTGGTAGGAATACGACTTTCATCATATATATCCGTCATTTTCTTCACTATTTTCAACATTCGTGCCGTTTACTTGAACATTTTGATCATTTATTTCATCATTTTGTTGACCACCTCGACTTTCTTCATTACCAACTCCAACATTTCTGTTTACTTCTTGTTCTTGAGCAGGTACCATTTTTTGTCTAAAAGTACCACTACCATTAGAGATGTTTCTTCTTATTCCCATTTTATCATCTCTAATGTAATCTCTTTCAGGAATATTTTCTCCGTAACCATTTGACCCATCATAGCCATCTTCAGGCTCGTATATTTGATTTACCAAACGTCTTGAATATCTCCGATCCGTCTCCATTCCAGGCGTTGGACGTCTTTCTATTGGAGATTGACCATCAGAAGGATACCTTCGAGTATACTCATATCGTGGTTGTGATCTTGTAGTTGAAACTGGACTATTTACATATTCTTCATTAGCAACACGTGACGTATATGATCTTCCCGATGAAGAACGATGAATAGATGATGTAGATGATGTAGATGATGTTCGAACGTGATTAGAAGGATAAGATAATTCATCGGTTCGAATATGTGTTAATGGACGTGATGCAGTTCTCTGATATGCTGAAGAGGCCGGTTGGGATGAAACATTGTTATATCCTTGTATACTGAATCTTTGTAACCGAGGTAGTTCACGAGGTGTTTCACGTGGAATTTCGCGTTCATAATAAACACGCGACCCCGGTTGATCATAATGAGAAGGTGGATGTTGCATTGGTGGTGGAGAAGGTGAAGTTGATGAAATAGGATTTGTACCAGAATATGCAGTACCAGAGGAACGACGTGATTTTCGTTCTAATACACGTGTAGCTGAAATTTGTGAATCATTATATTCTGGTAAGGTTGGAGAGGAAGACCTATAACGTGATGTAGCTCTTTGTGGAACATAATATGAATTAGGTGGAGATGATTGATCAGATGGAGGACCTGGAGAAACTCTTCGTGAGGATTGATCATGTAGCTGATCATGTTCACTAATCTGTGATTCATGGGAAGCAATAACTGGAGCAGATGATATTCTTGGTATAGGAGGAGAAATAGATCGTGTGGAATGTGAAGGAGTAGAAGCTTGCAAGAGGGATGAATCACCAGGATAATAAGCATATCCTTTTATACCAAGTTGATCTCTCTCCATTTTCTTTGATGATACTCTTTTTGGAGAAAGAGGAGCAAGTGCTAATAAACATTCGGTTAAACTTCGGACCTGTTCATCACTCGTTTTTAATAATGCCTTCATTCCTCTTTCAAGTTGACCATCAAGTTCCATTTGTGACATGATTGAACGCAACTTTTGATTTAATGAAAGTGCCGATGACACTACCATTGCCATTGAATGTGAAGGTGGGGGTGAGGAATCATCAACCGGATAATCTGTTGTAAATGCTTTCTCAAACATATCAAAGGCATTTTGCAAATGTTTTTGATGTTGGGCCAATGCCGGAGAACGTCTTGGAACACCTGTGATCGAACTGGTCCCACCTTGGGAACTATCAGGAGACAGAGCAGCTGGAGATATTGAATCAGAATGATGTTTCTTTCTTCTTTGGCTCTTTCGTTCAGACATAAGTTCTGTTTAATATAAATAAATAAATAAATTGTTATTAAGAAATTATTATAAATTTTATTATAATTATTATTATAATTAATTTATATATTTTTTATTATGATTTTAAAGATAATAAAACATACCATCATCAATGCGTTCTGACTCAAGTTTTTGAATGCGCGCTCTAAGTTCTTCTATTTGAAGATAAGAATCGGTTGACATTACACTACTATTATCATCTGGAATATCAGCATATGAATCATCTGTTTGTGGTCTTCGATGCATTTTAATTGTTTTAGGAACATCATTTTCATCCATATATTTTTGTGTTCGCTTTCTACCATTTGCAGAAATTATTTGCTTACCCCGCATACGATTAATATTTTCAGTACTTATTTCATTTTGTTCAGCTACATCTGATAAAGAACCTCCTCTTTCTTCTTCAATGACATCATCCATTGAAAATATACCCCGACCACGTCGTTCTGTTATGTTACCATTATAATGTTCAGCAGAACTATGACGAGCAGCACGAAGAGAATTTCTACTTCCACCTAATGTAGGAGCAAGAGGCATATGTGCTTTTGAAATATCAAATTCTGAATCAGAAGATTCTGGTGTAATTAATCGTGAAGATGATTTTGTAGTTTTAGTATTAATAGTTAAAGTAGGATGACTCTTAAGAATTCTTCGTCGATCGTTAATATTTTCAAAATCTTTATCTTCAATACTACTATTCTCATTAACATCTTCAGAATCTGAATTATTTTCAGCTGAAAAATATTTTCGATCCAATTCTCCATTAGATTCAATTTTTTTTAATTCCTTAACAGTACGATTTACCATTGCAAGTTTTGCCGATTTTCTCGATGATAAAGAATCATCAATAGCAGTAATTGTTCCTGTTCCATTCATTTTCATTTTATAATCATCTTCCACCTCCATTACATCTTCAAGATCTTTTCCGTTACCTAATTTATCTGACCTAAGTACAGTAGATATTGATTGTTGTTGTAAATTATTACTACGCCTTTGATTAAATTTTAAATTATTAACTAGATTATCAATATTTTGTTCTGAATCATCTGTAGGAATGGTTTCCAATTGACTATTTAATGCAGTTAAAGCTTGAGAATGTGAATGTTGTAATTTGTTTATTTGGTCGAGAAACTATTTAGAAAGAGAAAAAGAAAAAAAAAAAAAAAANAGACAACTTTGGAGACCGGGTATACTAATTAGCAGTCAAGTAGACTGCCAAGAAATCCGACAATTACATAATGAATCCATGACGTATTTATTATTATTATTAATTGTTTTTTTTTTCGCTAATGTTTCTTGAGAGATGAGATTATTAAGGAAAAATTTTTTATTTTTTTTTATTTTGAATATTTGAATTTGTATAAACCCAAATTCGAAATGTTGATTGGATCGGGATATATTTGAATCGTATAACTTTCTAAAAGAAAAACAATTACGGTTTCAATCGGTCCGAGGAATTAAGTCTTGGCGAGATTTTCCATTTTAACTAACAAAGTAGAACCTGATTTCAATTGTAAACCGATAAATTTTCCATCATTTGAAATAGGAAATTTTATTTATAAAATTATGATCAAGTTCATAGTGTGAAAAAAAAAAAAAAATAAAATAAAAATATCATAAATTAGCTGATTAATTAAATAAAATAGACTAAATTATTTTATTAAAATAATAAATTTTATTTTTATTTTATTTACCTCTTCATTTTTACTTGATAGTGACGCGATCCTATTTTTTGTATTTTGAAATCGTTCACTAGACATTGCTGGCGCGGCGGCCGTGGTCATTATATTATTATAATTATAAAAAGGTAATTAAAAATCGTAAAAAATACGTATAATTTTAGAAGTTTACAAAAATGTAAACTATCGCATCAATAAAACGAGTTTTAATTTGGAAATAACCCTAAGCCGTTGCAAAGGGGGTAAGGGGGGAAAAATTGGCTTAGAGACCACAGCCAAGATTTTTTTTTTTTTTGTTCAAATAGTTATATATTAAAAAATATTCAAAGGAAAAAAAAGTACTTGTAAAGAAAAAATATAAAGAAAGTCAAAAATTAATATTTTTGGAGTATTGTGTCAATAGGAGTCATATATGTTTGTTGTATATATTACTCGAACAAATAAAAATTAGTGTAAAATAAAAAAGATTTTTTTTTTATATAATAAAAATATAAAAATATAAATAAAAAAAATACAATAAAAATACAAAACCGGATTTAGTTAAAGGATTACTTAATCATTAACTGTTGTAACAGATAAATTCATTTAGAACCGTTAACAGTCAAAATATATTTTATTGAACACAAAAAAAATTCCGTGACATATGAGTTAATTGAATACAACTTGATTTAGGTGGAATTGTAAATTATTTTAGTTTAGCAAAAAAAATTTAAGAGATAATCCGGTTATAAATAACTTTTTTTCTGTTGAAAATTCTGTTTAAGGTTTCGCTTTTAAGAGGAGATAAGAAAATTCTCATTGTATGGAAATGGATTTATAAATTACTAAATCTTCAATTTTGAAACATATTCCATTGAGTTCCTACATATTCACGTGACTTGTTGAAAAAAAGTTGGTTAGTTCAACTTCTCAAGCCACAAGCAATTACCAGCCTGAGAGGTGGGTAATATCCCGAAATAACAACACTCCGCATATATGCACGTGTCAATCAAACACAAAGAAATCTTATATCCTCTTTCGGGTCTCATTTTCATAAACTTCGATTTAACTTTGTCGGTTTAAAAAAATATTATAACTTTCGCTTATCTATCATTTATATGGTACTATTGAGTTATTTAACCCCTTCTTTCGATCTGCAAAACGTATGTTTAATATTTTGCCTATTGCATGCATCTTTTTTCTCATTAATTGAAAGAATACAAATTCGGATAAAAATGTAATATATATACATAAAATATATATATATATATATATATATTTTCAAAATTTTTTGCATATATTATCAAAAGAAGGTTGCTTTCTTTCTCACCCCACTATTAAAAAAAAAATTAAAGATTCTTGCCCCAGAACAATTTTGTTTTTCTTAAATGTTTTAAAAAGAAAATTATTTCCAATTGTTCACAATTGTCATTCATTCGGCCGATAACGAGGTGGTTCTTTTCTAAAGATTAAAAATATTAGTTTCATGAATAATTTTGTTCTTATTAGTCTGTAAAAAGAAATATTTTAAAATTAATTAAACTATATACCCTTTTTCGCTTTTGAGACATTTCCAAAATAAAGTAAAAGGTTCCCGAAAATACAATGGGTTTGATTGAAGACCAATTAAAACATCGTGTAAGTGATTGTAACATCTATGTGGTTGTTTCTGAAATTGGCGTTTGTTTGTAGAGTTTGTAGATTCAGTTTCAAGAGATTTTTCGGGGGAAGATGTCATTTCAATAGAATAAATGACAAACGAAATAATTAGAGTATTGTTTTTTGATTCCCCAGATGGAAAGAGTTTACGATCAACTATTTATAAATAATTATTGCATCCGAGTGTACATTATATTTGCGTCACAAACGATGGGTTTAATTAAAAACGGCTAATTCTACGTGGCGCAGTTTAAAAACGCGTAAAATATTATTATATATATATATTTTTTTTTTATTTCAAATACCAATTTCAAATATTGGTAAATAATATTTCTAAATAAAATTTAAAGCTAAATGCAAAAAAAAAAAAATTAAATCGCATAAAAACAAGAAATTTGCATACATAAACAGTATTATTGTTCATAAAAATTTGAAATTGCAAGAAAATTAAGAAAAATTCCAAAGAAATCTGCTTATAAATTATCAATGTCTACATCATCATCTTTAGTTTCTCATTCGTTCAGATGAAGTTTTCTGATAAATTAATACATACATAAAATTCCTTCATTTTCATCAATTTGACCTTAAGAAGAATCTTCCAAGCCATTTGATGAGACAGATAAGCCAGCATAACAACGAATTTGCGATTGAGGGGTGCTTTTATTAGAAATTCTCGGACTAAAAGCAAATGACAAAGAAGTTGGTGTGAATTGTGGTGGCAATTGTTGACCTCTAAATTGATAGAAAGATGATGTTTGATTTTGTTGTACCATGTAAGCGTTAGATGGATTCGTATGAGATGGTGTGAAAGGGGATATTTCATAATATTGTTGTCGCATTGGTATTTGATTTTGAGAAAATGAGTCACCATGTTGAAGTAATTGAAACTCCTCATTTTGTTGTCTCGTGCATTTCATATCATAAATATTTGATTCACACTTTATTGGCACATATTGAGCTTGAGCTACAGGATAAGTATTAGCAGGAGTTGAAAACAACAAAGGACTCTCGACTGAAGGTGTTTGAAATGATGGAGAATGATAGTCCCAACTATAAACTCGTGGTTCCACATGTGTTGTATTCTTAACCGAATCTCCAGGTGTATTATGTGCCTTTAGTGACTCTTCCAAATTTTCTTTGACGATTTTGTTCTTAACCGAATCAAGTATTTGGTTCTTTTTATTGTACTCTGACACTTGTTGCTTTTCATTATTTACTAGATTCTGGCTAACAGGTATATCAGATATATTAGATTTCAAAGATTCATTATCTTCGTCTTGTGAAGAATTTCCGTCCATTTCTTTATTTGCTTGTTCATAAGTATCAGTCTCTTGATTCAATAAACCACTACATACAAGAGAAAGAACAGATAAATTCGATTTATCTTTTTTTTCTTTTTCTTTATTTGGGATGATTTCGTAATTTTCTTCCTTATTGACAGCGAATTTAGAATCTTCTTCTAAAAGTAATCCATCAGATACTCCTGATTGAAATTCAGATTCTATTTTAACCTGTATATCTTGATCTAAATCGGTAGTTAAATCTTTACTAGCACAAATTCTAGTAGGTAAAATAGAAATTTGATTTTGTTGTTGAACTGGCATAAGAACATAATATGAAGTGCCTCCTGAACTTTGAGGAATGAGAATAAATTTTTCACCGCTATCGAGTGTTGACAGTTGTGTTCCAAATATTTGTGAAGAGATTGACGGAAGATTAATAGGAAGGGGATTAACAGGTAGTTCACCAATTTGTCCGTAAGAAGCGGGTACTGTAAAAACTTCAGAGGAAACAGAACTCGTTGATGTCGTATATTTATCGTCTTGGTCTTAAAAAAAAAATAAAATAAAATTAACAAATCTTTAATAATAGTACATTATTTTATGAGGATTTTTACCTTTTATCTGTGTACGACGTTTATATGGACCTCTTTTGATACCTTTTTTTCTCTCTTTTCGAATAGAGTTTTTACATGTTTCAGTAAGCCCGTATTTTATACAACGTTGACAGGGTCTTCCATCATCACATCTCTTGCATGCCTTTTGACAGTTTACTAATAATGTCAAAATTTTAAACAATTGTTACACAAAATGTCAAATTCCGAGCTCCCGGAATTAAGTAGTACAAAATTATTTTATAGCCAAAAAAAGACTCCAAAATAGGTAAATATGGTAATAAGCAATAAAACATATTTTACAGACAAGTTACGTGAAAAAAAAAAAAATAAATAAATGAAAGTTTTACTTACCACAAGCGTTTTTTACTTGTTTTCTCTTTGTTTTTAATGGAGGTGCTAGTTGAGGCATAGATCCAGCAAAAGAGGGTATACATGTGGTTCCTTGTGTTGTGATTGGCGCAGTAAGAGCAATTCTTTGCAGTTGATGTTGCAATTGTTGATATAAATTATTATCCTCTTCTGATGATACAGACATATTAATTTCTTTAAATATGTTGAAATAATATATAATATTTGTTATTCGGAGAAATTATAAAGTGTTTAATAATAGGTCAAATATATAGTGATCAAATATATAGTGGGAAATATAATTATCTGAATAGAGTTTCTGTAAAAATAAAGAAAAGAATTTTCAAAACTGAGTTAAGAGAAGAAACGCCGTATTTGTATTCAATAGACTGCGGAAATATTGACTGATTTGAGTTTAAATAATAGTATCTTTACGACATTTTTTTTCTGTTACATGAGAATGATGAACTGATTAAATGATCATGATGAAATCCAAACTCGACTGAAAAAAAGATTTCTCTTATGATAAAGTATAATCAAATCATATTGATTGAAGATTGTTAATTGATTGATAAGATAGTATTGAATTTATCCGCAGCTGATTGATATCGTATAAAGAAAGAAACATACGGACATTAAAAATATCAAATTTGTAGCTACTGTAATTAAAAAGTCAAAGTAGTCGTTATTATAGAACCGATTACCAATTCTTTTTTCGATGTTAACTAAAACTTTTGCTAGATAAATTGTATTATGTTGAAGAAATAAAAGAAATAAAAGAAATAAAAGACGCGACGCGAAGTAATGAAGCATAGTAGCAAAAACTTATTTATTCGTAAATTTTCCTTTTAATATGCAACTTCTATGTTCTGATGAATTAATTATTTGAATTATGTTTATATATTCACTTATTATTATTTTTCTCTCCGATCGGATCGTATGAAGAACGGAAAATCAACAATTAATAAGTTCCTTTAAAATTTTATAAATCATATATTATAATGTTTTATATATTAATATTATATCTTGGCTAAATTTTTAATAAAACATCCATCAATAATAAGATGAATCAAAGATGAAATGATTAAAAAGAAATAATAAATAAAATTTATTAAATATATTTATTTATGTAATACTTGATAATGATCAATACAGTTCCCGGCGAAAATAATGGTGATAAAAATGTGTTTTGAACGTAAGATCGGCATTTTCCCTAAATTAATGTTTGCAAAACTAAATGGGCCTTCAGAATACTACTTTTAAAAAACGGTAAAAAAATTTGAGATTTCATTATTATTCTTATGTTCTAAATAATTCGTTATATCGAAATTCGTTATAAACGCGAGCTGACTGTAGTTAGCTTTTACATACAAGAATTTAATTTTATTTTTACCATTTGAATTTTTATAGACATCTGATTACTAAATAGTGAAAAATTAATATGAACGAACTTTTAATTGTATATGATGTGCGCTTTTTATTGGTCAATTTGTATTACGCGATTACGCGAACCCAAAAAGGAAATTTTGTTACTGAAATTTGTGTTTATACATAAGGATCACACAATTTCCAAAAAGGAAATTTCTTTGCCAATCACTTGATAAAAAAAATGGTTTTTGTCAAATAAATCACAAATGACATTTAAAACCACCTTTGCCATCTTAAGTAAATTTGCAAAAAGGCAAAAATACATTTATCACATTATTTTTTAATATTATATATTGATATATTATAATTTTTTTTTGTTATTTATTTTTTAAAGAATATTATTCTTCTAACTGTAATTTTCTAAAGTTATTAATAAATTCCAGGCAAATAACTAAAATAAAGTTAAAGAGATAAATAAGATACAGACCCTGGCAAAAGTAATGACAGTCAGTTTTTTTAATATAGCACATAAATTTTATAATGAAGCTATGAAATCTTTTTTTATTTTCAAAAAAAAAGGTCAAAAATACATATATTTTATTATTCAATAAATATTTAATTTGACTTCTATTTGCATCAACATATACTTCAATTTGATTTTGTGTGCTTTATCACCAATAACCTTGCTATTAATAATTATACTATTTTCTAAATTATTTTACTTTTTTCTAAATAAATTGAGAAGTGGCTTGTAAAATTTTTTTCTTTTTTTTGTATTACCATCTTCTTAATATACTGCTTCAAAAACAATCCAAAGTTCTCATTATAATTTGAGATTTGGACTTTAAAATGATTATAAAAAATTCACTATTGAAAAATAAATTTTCATACCACCTTAAATATTATGAAAGTTGTTATTTTACATTATACATGCCACCCAAATTATTTTGGACTGCCGTAATTATAAGTAAAATCCCAAATTCAATTATGGCATCCCAAATTATTTTGGCACTTTACATAGTAAATTATATATAAACTGAATGAATTATAGCATCCCAAATTATAATTATGGCATCCCAAAATAATTTGGGCAGCATGTATATTTTACATATCTATTATAATAATAACATCAGGAAATTTGTTTAGGCGTAATTTAGTGTAATATTTTGGAGGTGGTGTAAAATTTTGAAATATTGTAATATTACAAAAGTTTACGCTCTTAAATTTGAATAATTATAGTAATTTAAGAATATCTCACTATCTACTGATCCAATCAAGACGATCTATAGCTCATTGGAATCAGCTCATCAAGACGAATCGAATGGTAGTAAAATCGTATCTTTACGTTCGATAGATGATTTTCTATTAATTTAAAACTTTACTGCATACTATAGAGCGTTCTATCAACTGTAGAAATGCGATTTTACTACCATTCGATCCGTCTTGATGAGCTGATTCCAATGAGCTATAGATCGTCTTGATTGGATCAGTAGATAGTGAGATATTCTTAAATTACTATAATTATTCAAATTTAAGAGCGTAAACTTTTGTAATATTACATTTTTAGTATAATATTTCAAAATTTTACACCATCTCCGAAATATTACACTAAATTATTACGCCTAAACAAATTTCCTGATGACTTATTAGGGAAGGAAATAGGGTAATTTGGAAGGTATATAATAATATCAAGATATACAAATACAGATATAATCCTTTTTCTTTTATTTAGAAAGTAGTGAAAGCACATACTGAAGCCATATGATAATAATGATTCTATATAATCTAATAGCTACTATAGGAGAATATAGGTAAGGTTGCTTGCCTAAACCTCTCCAAAATTCTACGATTAGTTTCTTCAAAATTTTACTATAGTTTTATTATAGTTTTGGCAAGATTTTAGCAGTTTCAGCATTTATAATAAGTTTCATCAGGTTTTGCTTTTCTCCAGAGTTTTTCTAACTTTTTAATAAGACTTTTATATAGTTTTAGCAAAGTTTCGCCATTTCAGCATTTTAACAACTTGCCAAAACCCCCTAGTTTCTCCAGCAACTTTAGATATAGATGAATTTCATATTGGTGATAGTAGGACACAGAAGCAATCTATAGGATGGGAAACTGGTTCAGAGTTTTAATAGATTAGTTATGTATATATCAGAAATTTCTGTACTACTATTATGTAACTAATAAACTCATGAATTGCATTACCTTGCAAAAAAAAAAAGAATTTAATAATCTATAACTTATTTAAAAGTTTTAATCATATGATAGTAAGATTATATTGATAATATTAATATTAATTTATACTTACTTATTTAAATATTATGCTTATGATTTTGGTATTTAGTAATTAAATTCCAATAATTTTTATACTATTTGATTTATTTTATTGAAAGGATTTAAATAATATGTATTTTATATAAAGATGCTTGCCAAAACTATTTTTTCAAGATTTTAGTTTAGTTAAAATTTAATTTAAAACTATTTTTTATAATAAAATTAATTGTTTAAACTGTTATTATACTTTTCTGAAACTAATTATAATTTAGAAAAGTTTCAGATTTGCCAATTTTTTTATTAAAAATAAAGTTTTTAAATTTCAGATTTTTAATTTTATCATTAAATAAATTTTGGACAGCAACACTAATTTCATTATTTTCATATTTATAGTTTTAATATTAATAGAGTTATTGCAATTTAAAATTTTTATTATTTCACAACTATTTAAAATCATATGATATGATAAATTTTAACTTTAATTTTAACTTTAAGACCTCCAAAACTGAAATATTTTGACTTTTAACTTTTAATTTTAACTTTATATATATAGAAATATAAAGCATTTAAGATTATTCAAGATAGGCAAAAATATAAACTGATTACATATTATAAAACATGAACTGACTTGAATAAAATTATTGGTACAGAATTTATCTTGCTATAAATATTTGAAAATATTATTTTATAACAAATTTGAATAAATCTTAATTAAAATCACCAAGAAAAGATCATTATCAAAAAAAAATCAAGATGATGATTTTAAAAATTTGCAGAATATTAATTAACAGTTAAATATAAATATAAAGAAGCTAAGTAGGACCTTGCCTACTATTAAGATAGGTCACCCTGTAGCTTAAGGTAAGGTTTACATATAAAATTCTTTAAAAATCCTACTATAAAAGGAAATTTTATGTTGCATTGTTATGATTTTTTTCCTTTTTAGTTAATTAACTAATAGAATTTAAGCAAATTCTAAGGTAAAGTTTCATATGAAAGTGAAATTTCTACCGGTAACA